GAGAGAGAATAGAGAGTTGAGTTTGGGACTTGAAACAAGCTAGCAAGAGAGAAGCATAAAGACGGGTTGGGATTTGACATTGGGGTGAAATTTGAAATACGCGGTTTTCGGCTTTCAAAGCCTCTCTCTAAAATGTCTTGATTTGAAATCATGGTCTAAACTAGACCACAAACATCATATTTGAATTTGAAATATCATGAATTTCAAATCCATGGCCAAATCACTGTTCCCAAACAGAGCTGAATTTCGGTTGTCAATTTGTAATAGCTAATAGATAGCAAATCTGTTAAGACAAATGATCCAATAGGAAAAACTCCTATTAGAATAATTAGGCCTAAATAGTCGACCATCTCTGATTTCAATGTGACCTTTGTAGGATTTAATCCACAACTCTTGATCAGATGAAAGATAAAAGATATCAAGTTTCAACTAATAATTAATAAACTAGCTCTTTAACTCTACACAATCTGAAATTTTCAGTGCTAAAAGCTGGAGAAGACAAGCTGACTGTCTCATGGGCATTAAACAGTACAGTCTCCGACTCCTCCTACAAACAAGTGAAAGTCATTCTATGCTATGCTCCAGTGAGCCAAAAAGACCGCGGGTGGAGAAAGACAGTCGACGACCTCAGCATAGACAAAACCTGCCAGTTCGATATAATAACCAAACCCTACACAAAATCCAAGACCACATTCGAGTACATGGTCAAGCGCAATGTGCCAACAGCTACATACTTCATCAGGGCTTACGTTCTTGATTTTAGTGAAAATGAAGTGGCCTATGGACAAACAACTGATGCGGCTAAGACTACCAAGTTTTTTGATATAATTGGCATATCAGGCCGAACCGCTTCACTTGATATTGCTGCAGGTTGCTTCTCTGCATTCTCTATTTTGTCGCTGGTCTATTTCTTTGTGAAGGAGAAGAGGATGGCTAAGAAATGATACTTGTTGTTTGGGTAGTCATATTTGCTTCAATAAGCTATTACTTGTGTTATTGTGATATACAGAGAGCTTAATTGGTGAAGAATGAGCGAAGCAAGATATGTACTTTTGTTTCAGAATGGGTTTTATTTTAAAAGAAAGAAAATGAAAGTTTTA